AATTGTCGCTCGTTTTGTATACGCGATCCATGCATTAGCACCTTTATTATACACGGTAACAAAATACGTAGTAAATCATAATCACCCTGTACCGACTAAGCGGTAGTACTTCCTATTTAGTATAGGATCATGATTTCAATTTGAATTTTATGAAACTTGTTTGATGTTCCACAGCATATCAAAAACAGTACAGAAAATAACTGTAAACGTTTGTGTGTTTAAGATATAAGCACATATCGCATTTAAAACTATGAATGAAATTTTAAAACAGTAAGGTTAAATGGCGTGGCAGTGAATTTATATTTGTAATTAGTCCGTCTTAGCATTTAACGTCACTCTAAATAAGCTCGCTTGCGTAACAATTTGTGGTGTTACCTAAAATAAAAACCTTTAAAACCATGGTATAAATAGAATGAGAAATGCTAATTATGTGACAAGCTGTAACGCATCGCCTCCGAAACATTTGGAAATGTCCAACAGTTAGGGAACGTCAACGAGACACAATCTCTTGTTGACAGACACGTGTCTAAAAGCGTGTATAGTTATACAATTTTACATTTCAATTTAGACAAAATTTAGTTTCGCTAATACTGCAGACAATACAGTTGGTTTTGATTACTTTGAATATAAAATACAATAGATTTAAATAATACTTTAGGCTCTATAACAAAACGCTGTCAAGAAATGACAGATGAAGTTGTCAGACAAAATCCACGAAAGATGAATAAAACACAACGGTTCTTAAGACAAGATTATAGCTTAAGAGAAGATTAAAGTTATATTGAAAATAGCACTATTAAAGTGTCGCTTTGTACTTAAAGTAACTGTACATACAATTGATGGTAATGATTGACTGTAATTTATATTAACCGAGATACCGATACGATGCCTTTCAAGTTAAATTAACATTGTTTTGAGAGGAAAGAATAACAAACTCGTAGAGAAACTGCAATAAAACATCCACAAAGTCGTCTGTCATTCAGTACCTAGAGTAAAAAAAAAAATTCGAGTTAAAGAGTATAAATCCAAGATTGTTTATAAAAAGAATGTGTTATAACTTGAAACTAAAACACGTTTAGTATTTGTACGATTGCTACGAGTTAACCGCTATTAAAACCGCAATCATTTTATAACGTATAGCAGAATTGAATCTGAGAATATAAAATTACAAATACATAATAACAAAATGCCGATCTGCTCTAATCTAGAAAGTACCATAGACATTTATATTTTTATTACGATAGATTTAACTTAACATAAATTACAATGCAATGTATTGTTAAAACTCATAATCTTGATTATAAAATGACTTGATAAAATCTAAGATCACGTAAAATGAGGAAAACTTATATTTTACGCCACACAAGATGAAGTGCATATCAGAAGTGGCATACATGTCCGTACTGTTAAATTATTTATAGTCGAAGAGTTTGTGGGCGAGACGTAGACACATTCGCCATTTACAGATAATGTGCAACAGGCTGAGGCGCCGAATGCAGTCTCGACTTGTCGTTATATAGATCGAGTCAACGACCCAACACCAAGGATATCGAAATGGATATACTTAGAATATGCAAGTGAGATTTATCAGGAAAACGATCGAACACATCAATGCTACATTGAATGCAAATTAACATGGACATGTTTCACTACGCCTATTGTACTTTCGCACTAGACAGAAATACGACCGGATACATAGTTAAATGTATAAATACTCAGGCATTTCACCCTAAGCGTAAGCACAACCTGGACTCATATTTAACCGATCCCTCCACATTAATCCGGCTATGTACTATTTACATGAGTCTTCCCTAACAAATCGCCGTTCGATATAACACCTAAGTTTTAGACTTTTGAAAGTCCATATCAAATGAAAAAAACCTTTTAATTCCCGTCTGTTTCTTTTCTTAATCTGGCGATTTTAATTATAACTAACACAATAGTCTAGTTTTAAGTATAGAACATAATGCCTGCGTTTCAGTTTTAACTAAATTCTAAATTCGTATCAAATAATAACAAATATAGAAATTTACTGTTTGTTATCTGTAGGCGTCAATAAAGTCTTGACGTGCATACTAACATATCTTGGAGTCGCGGCGGCCGATAGCAGTGACTATAAATCAATACAACTCAGCCATAATTCAGAACATCTAAACAATGGTCAAATACTACTCGCCACTAATCGATACGAAACTAAATATTCACCTCAGCCTTTCTTCTCAAGGACAGATTCCTCCATATGTCGCGTGGGCTCGACCAGCCCGCCTTTGTTTTATCCGAGACGCTGTCGCCGACACTGCTGGCGCATCGGGTCAGCTTCGTGTTTCCCGCGCCGTTGCTTAAAGGCCTGCTTTCCATTCTGCGCCCATCCGAATACGGCGTTTATACAAAAACAAGTTCGGTTCCAGATCACACACGTTCGGATAAAGTCATTCGCACACAAACACAGGCACAAGTCACAAATTCGCGAACACAATCACTCGCAATTCACTTAGTGAGCCTCGTTCGTGTTACGTGTACGCACGGTCGTTATACATTTTTTTTGTAACCGCCTCTCGAATTTGTCTGCTTTGTCTTTTATTCTACACCGTTACGCTGACTCGTTTATATTTTGAATCAAAAATATTGAGTAATATAAATTCGCGTCACGATAAAATTGCATGTAGACGATGATACACTAAAGTTGAGATGGATAGAAACCGGACAGCCGCTTTAATATGAAGCACACTCGCGTCTGTATCGGTTTGAGGTTAAGTTACCGGTGGCTCGGGGCCGGCTGCCGGCTGGCACACGAGCGCCCCGGCGTCGCGGCTGCCGCCAACCGCACGGGCCGGAAACACATCGCCATATTATTAAACAACTTAACAACACCTGCACTGACTTATCTTTCGTAAATAATGAAAAGAATATATCAAAATTATAAAATATCTAAGATTCACTTCTTAAAATATAAACAATGTCCTATTAACTATTTTCCAAACGGAGATCACAAGCAAAGTATTTTAAAAAAGAAGTTTAACTTAATTGATTTTAAACTAAAATCCCCAGCTGTAGAACGCGTCCACGTTAACTCAGGTATAAGTTAATTATGTCTATAACTTCGTATAGACGCAAAAGGATCCCGGGCCGTCACACTTATGCCCACCAGACGCACAAAAGCGGGGTCTCATTGTTGAAAATAAAGTAACTAGTCGACTAATAGAAAGAAAAATAAACCTTAATCCACTCGAAAGAGAGACGAAAATAACTTATTAGCGGCGTGTGTTTACATCGTTACGTCTTAAGTTAAATAATGCAAGAGGAGAACGTGCCCTAACCGCTTTTGCTGGTTCGAATAAACTAAAAAATCAGTACTGTGTAACCCTGCTGTACGTATAACTTGCAAGGAGTTGAAATGTATTACACAAATAAATACAAAGTCTGTTTCCTGCGTTATCTGGCCAGCTTTCTCAACGCGTCCACCGCGATAACGACTTACTGATAACAGAAATTCCTAGAATTCAGTAAACAGAATAATAAGGAGCCTCTCTTCTATATAATCGACGGATTATTGTGGCTCTTTTGTTCGTTGTACACAAGTAAAAGCTTTAATTTTCTTTCAAACAAAGAAGGCTTAAAAGGATACAGTTACACGATCACGTATGCAAAACACATTCTTTCTCATATGATATCTTATATATACATACATTTGACTCGTGACAATGCAAAAAGGTAAAATCAAAGAAAATTCACGTGACTTTTTAATTAATTTTATTGGCGTTCTGAGAAATTTCAGGTCAGGGCGCGACCGTGAAACAGTTAATGTCTGTTTAGTGAATTCGACACATGCGAGCAGAATGGCCGCCGCTGTACGGGTTATTTTTAACCCTGTGTGACTTGGGGTCAGTCACCCGCAATCCTCCCCAGGACCAGTCCTATCACAGGAGGAACTCGTGTGGGAATGCACCAGCCAAGTCCTTACGAAGGGAAATAAGAAACAGAGCAAAAACAAAACCTAGAGCTACTTGCGACTAATGACTCATAATCGTGTTTTATGTTTAGAAAAACCGTAAACACTTATAATATGAAAGATATAACTTATTTAGAAGAATCTTTCGAGGTTTAAAGTGAGATATCGAGTTTTTTGTTATAAAAATCAAAAACAAATGGGAATAAAACCTACATATTACAGCCCCCTAAAACGTATTCGTCCGTGTAAGTTTATCAACAGTCTCATTCAACAGAATGGATATAAAATAAATATTAACTGCATACGTCATTAGTTCGTAGCTCTATTGTTTTCGGGCTAAACAAAAAGACGTACGTACAATTGTGGTATAGTGTAAAACTATTACAAGTATTTCATTTCGTATTCCTTCAATTATGAATAATTTTTAGAATGCAAAATGATAAGCTTTAGCAAAATAATCGGTACAGTAATTAGGCCGTATAACTGTCGACTGGTCCTTTTTAATACGTCACGCGTCGAAATGTAGCGAGTGTCCCGTTACGAAAGTAAATAATAAAATAAATAATTTTTACCATATATACATGTAATGGTTTTACTTTATGTTCTCGAGTGACAGAGAGATCTGTTTGTTATTCGTTTTAGGCTGAACGTTTTTTTTCTATTACACTTTAGCTAGCCTGATAGACAACTACATGAAAGCTCATCATATATGGTATAGATATAAATAAAATTAATTCCTTGCGATTGCACGGAAAAACATTTTAACATTTAAAAAAGGAGAACATACAAAATATAATAAAAATTAAGCGGATCAAGACTGAAAAATGGTTTTTAGTTATTAGCGCATTATTAATACGATTCTTCTTAATTTTATACGGTCTACACATTGATATACGTAAATATCGAAGGTAAAATAATACGAACACAAGTGTTATAAACTCGAATCCAATCGTTAGTACAAGAGGGTTGCACTAAAATAACGAAACTTCCCTTTGGGGTTCGTGCATTAAAAGAGTGATTGGGGGAACATCGCGAGGGGTGCGGCACTCACCGTGGCAGTGTCGGTGAGGGTGGCAGTGGCCGCGGTAGGTCCATTGCTCGTGGTCGCAGTCGCATTGAGGGAGGTCGCGCTAGCCACCTGATTGTTAGCGCTCTGCTCTATGATGCGCTGCCGCAGGGCGAGCCGCTCGAGGCTGGCGAGGCGGTGAGAGCCGCCGGCACCCTCCCGGTCGCGCTCGCGCAGCCCGGTTGCGCTGAGCGTGCTGCCGGCGCTGAAGGAGCCGCTGTACTTGGGCAATGTGGGCGGCGGCACCGGACGTGCTGAACCCCCGCGCCCCAGCAATGACCCGCTGGACGTGTACGCATAGCCGCCAGGAGTTCCGAGCGTGGCTGTGCGAGGCGCCGCTGCGAGCCCGTTGAGAGCGCCGGCGGTACCGTTGACGGCGCCGCCGTTCACCGTCGTCGTGGTGCCGTTCATCTCCCTCCGATGTTTACCGTCATGCGAGTCGTATAGCGCGAGCACACACTGTCACCGCGAACGACGAGACTTGTGAGTTCGTCGAAGTACGTTCGCGCCGGCCGCCGTTCGGACTCGGTTTGACAGCTTGGCGCGGCGAAAGGGGCCGGGAGGCGCGCGGGGGAGGACTGACGCCCCGCGCGCTCCGCCCGCCATGTCTCAGTCAGGACTATTACCACAGGGCACGGCTGCCTCACCCGACTGGAGGGTTGAAAATGCATTGTTCCTTATTCTAAGTCAAGGTCAACACGAAAATTCAATTCTATCATTTTCATCTTTGCTCCACAAAACATATTATAAAGCAATTATGTCCATAAAAACAATTGATCGTAAAAAACTAAGATAGCATTTTTATACTCAAATTCAATGTAAAGTATTGACTCAACGTTATTTATTTTTGGGCAAAAAGAGATTGGTTTGGGTGCATGAATAACTTCTGAGATAATTTAAGTACAATGACTTTAAATAAAAAAAAGTCCAAGTAACCCTCGCCAAAGTCTACTAAGAATTTGGAATGTTAGGATATCATATCCTTCAATAGCTATTCTAGTCGAATATAAACGGAAAATTTACTTTAAAAACAGATTTCACCCTTGCGTGTTCATTAATGGACACTCAAACCAACCCTAAGCAACGCCGGTAATTGCAGTCATCTGAATGGGAGTACTTTAACCCTTGAGCGTCATCAAACGCATTATGAAACACCTCTTAAAGTTAAAAGTCAATGTTGAAAAATATTATCAAAACTACGTTATACAGTAATTCCGATAGCATTAAATTAAAATATAATATAAATCATTCGGGTTTAAACGATCTCTTATCAAAATATTACGTGTTGTGTTTTTGGATCAGTGTTATCAATAGGTGAAAGAAGGAAATGACGTTGTTGGTTCATTGGCCCGAGTCGACCAAGACGCGAACTAAACCTCAGTGCGGAGTCATTAGCGGAAGTACTCAAGTCGTAGAGAATAGACATCCGCAATCAAGCATGCACAAAATTATACAGTTTGATCCATCATTATAAATATGTAATGAGACAAAAATAAACATCACTTTATTTCAGCTATATTAATTGAAATACGTTTTCGTTTTAAAATTAAAGAAAAAGATTGTTATAGGAAATGCGTATTGTTAATTTTAATTAAGAACAATATTCTCTTCTTCATTCTTCATTCTATTCATGTTGCACTTGGAAAAATTGTGTTTTCGCATAAAACCTTCATCTCAATCGAAAAAGGGAGTGGCAGACTACTATCTACAGTTCGGATGCTAACGAAAAAAATTGTCGTATAGAAGAAAGGCAGAGCACGTGGCGGTCGCATGGGTGGCCGTGATCGACCGAAGCACGGCGCAGGCGCGGCGCCTCCTGCCCCCGACACAACCCTTCGGTGCAACACCGCCCCACGGCATCAATGGTAATTGGGAAGCATAATGAACTGCAACCAACGCAATACCCATCTTCACAACTTTACTTCGTATGCACGATACTTCGAGCAAACCATTACAATGGGCTAAAATTACGCTTTAATACAATGAAGTTGTAAACTAAAATGACAGTAAATTTTCTATTAAATGTTAATCAGTTAAAGTACCCAAATATAATGACATTTTAATTACTGTTATATTCTATAGGGTATGTACTACGATAAGTCCATATGTAACTAACCAGGATTTTTGTAGCCCCGATAAACCAAAGTGAATCTACTTTTACAAAAGGTATGTTAAACCTAAAGGCCAGAGTGTCCCTTATAGCATTGTACGACAAATTGTTGCTAAGCACTAGCACTTACAAAGCTAATTAAACCCGGTACAGATACGGTAAACAAAAAGGCTATTACATTTCATTAACACGTTTGTGTCAACGCATTAATTAATGTACCGCTAAACTTTCTCGCATAAAATATTGTATACAAAATGCATGTAGTTGCTTTATTACATGCCTTTGAATGTTATCTTCCGGCATGCGGGTTCTCGCAGCGATTGATCGAGATCTTTGAATCAGCTTCACTGTAACAACATCATTATTAAAGATGTTTTAACTTCTTTATGTGACGTGATGCAATACGTTATGAAAATAAAAACATTCACTTTCGGAGTATGTTGACATTACTCAGAAACACTGGCAATACCAAAATATGGTTTTATTATGAAAATATGTATCAGGGATGAATATAATTAAAAGATGATCTCTTATCTTTTGACATGAAAATACAAAAGTTTCGGCTGCTATTGTGTAGGATACATGACTCCACCAAGAACGAATCAAGTTCGAACGGAACCTGTTCTTAATAACAGATATAGGAAAATGACTCATTAAGAAATTGTTCTTCAACTTTGCTTCACTAAAACATACGAGTACGGGCTAGTACCCCGGCATAAATTTAGCATATTACAGTTTTTTTTTTTTTAATTTGGATAGATAATATTGAAAACAATGAAAAAATTGAGTAGGTACAATTTTTCAAAGGGTATACACACACATTGTGAGCGCATCATACTGAGACTCAAATCTAAGGTTAAATCGCGTTAGATGATATATTTTCTAATATGCAATTTATTATATTGCGCAATTAAAATGGAATAGAAAAAGAGGAAATTCGGCCAGCGTGAATATTTTGTACATGTAGCGCCATCTGCTGACATTATTTTGCACGAAAATGTTTAACACTCCTGACAATATCAAGAGCGTCTACACAACTCGTAATGTTATTCTTTGCCGTTAGATGGCGTGGACAGTGTTTTATCGCAGTAACGGCAACAATTAAAAATACAAGCAGACTTCAATATATAAGTTGGGGTAATTAAAATGCAAGATTTTACATGTGCTAAAAAATAAAGAACTAACAACTCTGTGCTGAAATTATTTTCATACAACTTCCCTATTTGTAAATACTATTGCTTTCGATACCTAATTATGTATAGCTGTGACTCTAACGAGTTTATTTCTTACTGGCTTAGAGGGTTGGTTATTTTTTAAGGCGTGGTGTACTTAACCTTTGACTTGTGTACTTCCCAAAATCGTTACACTTTAGGGAGTAATTTTTATATTCATTACGACGTAATTTTGCAACCGTAAAATAGACATTACTAACGTTAGAAGTGAAATGATAATCGAGCAGTCGACCTGCTCCCCACTGAGGTCAGCGTTATCTGGTGCACGTGCAAATTGAAGAGTCTAGGCGAGGTCAAGCCACCTCATCCCACTTCATATACCAACCATCTGTCTAAAGCAAACTACTTCTACAAGGAAACTTAAACATTTAACGTGTGAAAGTGAATGTTTACTACAGGCAATGAATATCTAGTAATTCATCTTGAATATAATTTAATTCTTGTTTAAAAACTGACATAAATGGACAGGCAGTAAGTCACAGTAATTTGTGCTTATTTGATTTTTGGTATTTTGACTACGGTTGGTGCTGGTAGTGGTAGTGAGGATTTAAACTAATAACAGAGAAAGGCACACTTATATCAAAAGCAACAACCTATTCATCTGCAAATATCAATGTTAAAAACATGTTGTCATCCCTCTTTCTTATTCAAAACACATAGAGGATGATAAGTTTATGAACAGGTATTGTGACAGTAGAGAGCAGTTAATACTCGTACAATAATTTGTTTTTTAATTCACGGTTTATATTAAACTAGCTTTCGCCCGCGACTCCGTCCGCGTGGAATTAAATAAAAACAAAAGCGAATAGCGTATTACGAAATTTGGTATAGACGTAAACGCTACGCTACAAACTCTAGCAAACATCCATTCATCCATCTTAACTTTCGCATTTATAATATTAGTATGAACTATGATTAAGTATGAAGTATGATATCACCTTCAATCGTTCAGAAATGTTATCAATTGATTTTCCCTACTCTTCTATAAAAGATCAACAGTATACTAACTGAAGCTTTAACAAACTTGCTCAATTTTACTGTCGATATAGGGCAATAGGCCACTGAGGTCGGTTAAAGTTTACTTGTTTTCCGCTTTCAACTCATCTTCGCTCGAGTGAACAAAAAAACGCTAAACTTTAATTCATAGCCACCTCGAAAATTCAAAACATATTAAACAAAATTGCTCCAGCAAACTGTTACGTCCTTGACACGGAACATCTTTTCGCAATATGAGACGAGTGTTCAGAATAAAAAATAAGCAAAGAAATTCTAGACAACAAAGACTTCGACTCGAGATATACAGAATACTTTGCGACTTTTGCTTTTAAACGTTAAGTTGGGATCTAGTTCATCGCCATACATATCTATTTTATTCCTTTGAAAAAAAAATAATAAAGAAGAGTCGGCAAGTCACGTAAAAAACATGTAGACCTAATTTTAGACGAACTAAACGCTGATATAAAAAATGTAATAAAAGCTAAATTATAATGACAGATAACGTTTTCAATCTAACTAGTCTAACTAACATTTCTAACTAATATTATGAATGCGAAAGTTTAGATTCATGGATAGATGGATGGATGGATGGATGTTTGTTAGAGTTTGTAACCTAAACGGCTGAACGGGTTACGGTGAAATTTGGTACAGATGTAGAGGATAGTCTGGAAGAACACAACAGCCTACTCACTTTTGTTTTTTTAATTCCACGCGGACGGCGTCGCGAGCGAAAGCTAGCAATCTCATATAGCTTTAGTACTACGATTAGTGTAATAAGAACGTTAGTCAGAAGTTCTGTGAACTAAAAGTGACGTCAGTACGGGAAATGAATAAAAAAAATATCAGTTCCCTACGAGCCACGTGTAATGAACGGCCGCTACAGTTTGTTGAACTTACACATGCTGAAAGATACAAAAAAGATGTGGACCAGCTCATGCCTACAGAAACTGAACCTCGCAACTACCATGCAGTAATCAAACACAAAGTTATTAATACCTCTTGTTTACTTAAACTAAATGGATATTTTAAATATTATCTGACACTATGAAGAAGATTGTTCCTATAGATACAAGTAATTGACTTATTCTATTGCGATATACAAGGTTTTTCATTAAATGTAAATTGACTTTTTTTGGGTACATGAGTGTATGTAATATTATTGTAAATTAGGTTGCCCTTGAACGCAATTTTTTTATTAGCG